CTTCCTTGGGAAGGAAGAACCTCCGGGCTCTTAATGCTCCTAATGCCAGGAGGAGGATCGGTTTTCTTGTGGGATCCTGTTGGGGCAAAGTTTTCACTGCATCAGGAATTTGGCAAGGGAGCTTCCCGCCACTTTCCTGGATTGCCCCAGTTCCCTTCTCTGGCTGGCCAAGTTTTGAAGCTCTGAGTTAGCTGTCAGAAGTTATTTCTGCGAGGAGGAGGAGGAGGAGGAGGAGGAGGAGGAGGAGGAGGAGGAAAAGAAACCATTCTCTCCCTGTTTTTAAAGAGGGGAGGAGATAGATGGATGGATGGATGGATGGATGGATGGATGGATGGGTGGATGGAGGGAGGAATGGATGGATGGATGGATGGATGGATGGATGGATAGATGGATAAGATAGATGATAGATAGATGATAGATAGATAGATAGATAGATAGATAGATAGATAGATAGATAGATAGATAGATAGATAGATAGATATGGATGGATGCAGGGATGCATGATTGATAGATGATAAATACAGAGATAGAGATATATACAGAGATGGATGGATGGATGGATGGATGGATGGATGGATAGATAGATAGATAGATAGATAGATAGATAGACAGAAATAGAGAGATATAGATTCTATCTATCTACCAGAATCTCCCATCACTAAGCAACTCTGTTCTTAAGTGAGTCACCTTGATTTTACAAGTTTTGTTATGCTTCTTAAGTGAATCATGCTATATAATTTTTTTAAAAAAAAATCGTCTTGCAAACTCCCTTTAAAAGTTCAAGATTTTCAGGTCTGCCTTTCCATCCTTACTATCCTCATTCTCTTTCCCATCATCCTCACCAACCTGACTTTTCTAAACGGCACAGTTCAAATTCTAAAATGCCAACGGCCAGGGATTTTTAAAAAAAGAATTAAAACACCACCACCACCCAGGAGTAGAGTGGACCTTCCTAACTAACCCATCAATTCAATCTCCCCAGATGTCCTGAAACATATCCACGATCGGCCTTCCTTCTTAGAAGGAAAAGAAATGCCTTTTTTGTCAACTTGACCAAAGATTTTGGGCAGCTAGTCTTCATCTGTTTTGCTGATTTGTGGTTTTGCAGAACTGCTCCCAGCAGAGACTTCTGCCTACAGCTCAAGCTAAGACCACAGGAAGGAAGAACGTAAGCTGAGGTTCCACTTCTTGTAATAACTGTTTTCAAAGTGCTCGGAGCAACCGAAAAGGAAGATAACTTTTAAAGACTTAAACAGGAAAGGTTGCAGAACAGACACAATGCATTTTGCCTCGAGCCCAGAATCCATCTGGCATTTGCACCCTTGCAAACGGCAAACTCTGTAGTTGCTCTGACCACCCCTCACCTCTACATCTGCTAGTAACTTACACAGCGCACGTCTTTCTTTAATGCTTAATGCCTTTGTGGGCCAAAGGAAGGAAACTCTGGTTAATTTCACCCATTCAGCACAAAACAGACTCATCCCTCCCCTCCATCCCAGGCTCAAGTCTGCACACAAACACTCAATGTTTGTTCTGAATGGTTGCACCAGGTTGCAGCGGGGATCCTGTTGCAAACTAGCAAGGTTTGCTTGACGTTGGTTAGTTTCCCCACAAGGATCAGAAAAGAGGCTGCATTCCCACGTTGGGCTAAGCCACAGTTTTCTTTCTGGTTTGCAGAACAAGTCATAAGTTGGCTGATCCAAACAAATGAAGCATGAGATAATAGACTAAAGATGTGCAGTCCAGGTGGAAAACAGTGTTAACCTACAGGGCAAGCAATTTAATATTTAACTGCCAAATAACGATGGCTGCCTGGTAATGATCTGTGCCTTAACAGAAGGGGAGGAAAGATTGATTTAAAAGGTTGAAAAACCAGGGGGAAGATGATACTCGTCACAGTTGGTAGTGCCTTGGGAATTTCCAAAGCGCCTCAAAATCTCTACCTTCTCAATCTGAAAAGGCCCAAAAGAGGAAGAACAAGAGGAGGGGGGGGGAAAAGAAGAAGCTCAGCTCAACGAGAATGGAGTTATTTGATGCTTTAACTGCAGGCCCTTCGCAAAATTCAGCAGAGGTCAAAAGTTTGAGTCCTCTTTGGCAATCTTTGAACTGGCTGGAGATGATGCTTTTCCTGAATGCAGATGGATTGCACAGCACACTTGTCTGCTTCCCCAAAATTGGCGACAGGCTGGGCAGCGTTCAGATGTCCTTTAACCCGTGGATTTGGGGAGCCGTGAAAAATAACCTGCAAAGCTTCAACTTTTATCCCCCCACACCAGCACTGAGAGAAACACCTCGATCTGGTTCTCAAGCTAGGACGCTGGAGTTCAACTCCCCAGCCAGCTATGATTGTTGGACTTCAACCAGCATAGCTGGCTGGGGAATTCTGGGATTAGATTAGATTAGTAGAGTTGGGAGGGACCTTGTAGGTCATCTAGTCCAACCCCCCCGCCAAAGCAGGAGACCCTACGCCATTTCTGACAAATGGGGATTTGAAATTCACCTGTCTTCCAGTGTCCCAGGTTGAGAAACAGTGTGTTAGAGGAAAAATTAAAACCAGGAAGGGGAAGAAACACAGCCTCTCATTGACGGGCACGCACCTAAGGGGCCTGGAGAGAGATAATTAAAAACCCCGGCTTCATTAAAGCAATTAATCAACCTCTCCCCCTCCCACCCTGCTACTTTCTTCACCCAATGGCTGTGGACTTTTACGATCCTCAAATGCTTTTGCCAAAGAATTTCTTCCATCAAGGAGAGAAGCACCTGCTGTATTGCTTTGGAAAGTCACAGAGTAGGGCTTGTTGTGTGTACACACACCGTGTGCATCTTTTGGATGGGGGAAAGCTATAAGGGACAAACCCTTACGCACCAACCTTGCATTAGCTGGCAACTCCAGTTTCTACAGAAAGTTGCATCCACCGCAAAGTGCTAAAGGACAAAGGTTAGCTAATTAACACCACCTAGGAGGAAATGAGTAGAAGAGGGGGAAGAGGGAGTAGAAGAGGGGGAGGGAATTCACTAGAGGATGAGGACAGCATCCTCAGGAGAGAAAATAAAAGACAGGTCGACTTACGACCACAAGTGAGTCCCAAATGTCTGGTAAGTGAAACATGATGTGCCCCATTTTACGACCTCGCTTGCTGCCGTTGTGAACTGAATCGCCGCCATGGATAAGTTAGTCATCCATTGCCGAAGTAAACCTGGCCTCCCCGTTGACTTTGGTCCTCAGAAGGTCACAAAAGGCGACCGTCATAACTATGAACCAGTGGCCAAGCACCTGAATGTGGATAGCAGGAAGGCTGCAAGAGGCCGTCCCTGTGAAAAGCAGTCCAAAAGTTCCCCTTTTTCCAGTCACTTCGAACGGTCCCTCAACAAAACGTTGTAAGGTGAGGGCTACCTGCAAATGCTATTGGGGGAAGGGGTGGCTCAGGCTGAAGTAAGGCAGAAGTTGGGGGAAAGGCCCTCAAAGCAGAAATGCAGGGGGAGTTTAGCCCAGTGGTGGGATTCAAATTTTTTTTACTATCGGTTCTGTGGGCATGGCTTGGTGGGCGTGGCATGGTTTGGTGGGTGTAACTTGGTGAGCATGGCTTGGTGGGTGTGGCAGAGGAAGTATCCTGCAAAAAAAAACCTTCCCTCCCCCACCCCACTACCCTGCTTTCCAGCTCCGTTCTCCTGTGCAGGGCAACCAAAGGAGACCCAGCCAATCAGCTGGGACTTAATGGGAGGAAGAGAATGGATGGGGGCAGGCAGTGGTGGTATTCAATTTTTTTTTTTACTATCGATTCAGTGAGTGTGGCTTGGTGGGTGTGGCAGGGGAAGTATCCTGCAAAAATCCCCCTTCCCTCCCCGCTCCACTAGCCTGCTTTCCAGCCCCGTTCTCCTGTGCAGGGCAACCAAAGGAGACCCAGCCGATCAGCTGGGACTCAATGGGAGGCAGAGAAGAGATGGGGTTGGCGGGGCCAGTCAGAGGTGGGATTGGCCGGATCTCCGAAGTACTCAAAATTTCTGCTACCGGTTCTAGAGAACCGGTCCAAACCGGCTGAATACCGACCTCCGGTTTATCCCCTCTCTCCTGCTTGCCCCGTAAGAGATATTCCAGAACATAAGATTTACTAGTGGATTAAACTGTCTACCATGGACCTCACTCCGTTCCTAAGAGGTCTGTAAGGGAGCGTGTATAAGTGGCACCAGTGTGCCTGCTGTCCCTGTCCTAAAGTTCCCATTGATTCGTACTCATTGATTATATATACACTTATACAACTGTTTATTCTTATAGGTTTATACGTTATGTCCATAGTTGTTTTCTCATACATGCTTGACAAACTAAAATTAATATAATAAATATAAAATAAATAAAAAGTTGGTCCGTCTGCTCGCCGGTACTCCCAGCCTCTCCCTTCAGCCCCCATGCAACCTGACCTGGATCCTGCTAGCTCCAGCTTGCCTCCCCCCCCCACTCCTCAACAGCCCCCTCCCCACACCCCGGCGTTCCCACGGCCGAAGTACCACACAAGCGGCAGCCGGGGACTCTTTCCTCGGCCCCCGAGAGAAAAGAGGCTTTGTTAGCCTGCCTAAGGGAGACAGCGTGAGAGCGGAGCCACCAAGCGCTGGGAAGCCCAAAGGACAAACGAGGTGGAACAAACTCCCTTCTCCCCCCCTCTCCCCCCCCCACCCCCCTAAAAAACAAGGCAGAATGGCTGGGAAAAAAAGGGGAGTCGTGCCCAAGGTAGGGCCTATTGCTGCCTCCCAGGACTGCAGCAGCTGAAGGTCTGGGCTGGCCATGAAAATTCAGCTTTTTTCACTCAACTGGGCCTGCCGGAGCTTTCTCCAAGTCTACCAACCCGATCAGGTGTGGGACGGATGTAAAGCAACCCTACAGGCCCAGGAACATCTCCAGGCTGGCCTCTTCTAAGTACCAAACCCCCCCATTCTCAACCTCTGCCCATTAGGGCGGGTCTGTAGTCCTACCATTCTGCAGCGGAGACGCTCGATAAAATTGGTACTTCTAGGAGCATCTCTGCAACTTCAAACCGTACTCTCTCCTAGCACTGACGGCGTTACCTAGTTGGGTCATGAAACATCTGCAAGAAAACCACCAAGCTCAGAGAGCACCAAGGAGCCCACAATCCCCTTCTTCCTCCTCCTCCTCCGCTCCACAAACCCAACCCCCTTCTAGCACTGATGTTACCTAGTGTGGTAGTGAAATGTCTAAAAGAAAACCACCAAACTCAGAGAATACAAGGGCCCCACTGTAGTTGTCGTTCTTCTTCCTCCCTCCCTCCCTTCCTCCTCCTCCTCCTCCTCCTCCTCCTCCTCCTCCTCCTCCCAGTACATCCTACTCCCTTCTAACATGATGATATACGATGTTACCTAGCTTGATAATGAAACGTCTGCAAGAAAACCATCAAACTCAGAGAACACAAGGGGCCCACTGTAGTTGTCGTTCTTCTTCCTCCCTCTCTCCCTTCCTCCTCCTCCTCCTCCTCCTCTTCCTCCCTGTATACCTTACTCCCCTCTAACTTGATGGTGTTACCTAGCTGGATAATGAAACGTCTGCAAGAAAGCCACCAAGCTCAAACAGCCCCAAGCATCCCACAGGGAACTGACTGTGGGCCAACATCTATTTCCTCCTTCCTGAGACCTTACAAGAAGGCCCAAAACCGCTTTACGGATGAAGGCCAACGAAAGGTGAATCAAAAGTAGGCTTAGAAAAGTCACCCTCCTCCTTCTTTTCCCTTAAACCAGCCTGAGAACTTTTTCTTCTTCTTTGAAGTTAAAGAAAGAATTCCCGTTTCTAATTTGACAAGCTCAGTCTGGCGATCGAAAGGCCATTTCATGGTCCCCCAGCCTCCTCGTCTCCTTGGGGAGAAAAAGGAGGAGAGGGGGCCCAGGAGGAATGCAAAACAGGCCACAGACAAAAGGGGAATTTGTAATTCTCATGGCTGGGATCCCGAGGTATAAACTGGTTTTAAACAATTCAGTGACTCCTTAAAGCTCAGGCCACAGAGGGGGAGGATGCTGATGCCCTTCCCCATTCTTATTGTTCCTCATTTTATTCTGTTTTTTTTTTAAAAAAAACAATTATTCTGATTCTCCTACCTTAAGAGAAACCAGCCATGTTCTTTTTAACACTCTTGTAGTCACAATGACCGTATTTTCAGGGGGGGGGGAATAAAGGACAAACTTAAAGAGGGGGCAGATTTGACCTAAGTTTGTAAGGCTACAAAAAAACGAATCGCTTTTGTTTACAACTTTTGTTTCTCAAAGGAAAAATTCACGAGCAAAAAAAAAAAAACCAAAGCAAAACTTTATAAAGACGATTAAAGGGCCGTCCTTCAGAATAAAGGTCACTGTATCTTTAGGTGATGTTTGCTAAACAGCCGGGAAAGGGTTTATTAACCTCTGCTCCTTCTGATAAATCTCTTTGAAACAGGTCAGTTCCCTGCAAACACAACTTGCAAAAAAAAAACCACAATGAAATTTTTAGCTTCTTTTATCAGAGTTGGGATGCGATAAAATCCAGCTGATTTCAGATCCACGGCCCAGGCCGAGTCTTGAACATCTGTTCAACCTGGACAGCGCAAACAGATAAAACACTAACGCACCTGTGCCGCTGTGTTTGTTGGCTTTGTGTGTGCAACCCTGAGTTGTTGAACCCAGGGCACACCCAGTAGTAAGACGGTTTGCTTGTGGAGTGTACAACACCTGAACCTAAACAACAGCAGCTGATAGACTAAACCTTAGCTAAACAAACTATGTAGCTTATTTAGCCCGTGGTGGAAATGTGGATTTTAAGGTTGAGAGAAAGACCAATCTGAGATTAGATTTCACCCATGATCTCAAATCTTAAATCAGCACCCCAAAAGGTCAATCAGAGTCCTTTCCACTCATGACCCCTCCTTCTCCAATACACACTGTCCCCAAGTTTTGGGAGGAGGAGGAGGAGGAGCATGGGTTCACAGCTGTAAGGATGGAGGAAGGGTTATCAGACCAAGTTAAAACGTCAAGATGGGGGCAGAAATCCTGTTACTTTTTTTTTTTAATCTGCATGACAATAGAGTGACTTTGTAAACAGAAGGCTTTCTAGTGCAAAATGCAAACAGGGTCCACTTGATTTATCAGGATTTTTTTATGCCTCTTTTTGAGGTCCTAAAGGAGATGCTGTTAGGTTGTGTGTTTTATTTCAAAAACCAGTTTAAAGCTTTGATATTGCAAACCACATTCAGAGAGAGAGAGAGA